GAATCGAATTCCCTGCTCGCCAAATTTTCCGATTAATTGTGCTATCCGTAATCTATATTAAACCCGTATAATTCGATTACCTCTAATTAGCTGGTGATACTGGTGACCCCTCTAAATATAATCCAATAATAATAATATAAAAATAATAATAATACCTCTCAAAATACTCCAAAAAGTATTACAAGTTAGAATATTATAATGCAGATATATTACTTCGCGAAAATATTAGCTCGAAAAGTGTTACAACATTTTATAAATATTACAAATAAAAGGGTTATCATATGTAGGATCATAGTGGTCGTCAAATAAAAATGCTTAAAGAGTAACTATTCAAAGAACTTTGATAATAATTTTTTAGTCGATTGTTGTGATTTTCTTGAGCCAGCTTACTTTAGTGTACCTTAAGAAATCGATTTATGCATACCATACAAACGATTGCCTGAGGATTTCTATGAATTGAATTCGCCATTCGATCTGCGATGTTGTGGAATATCTTGAGGGTGTCGATCATAAAATTATTGTGTAATTTGAAATATTTAAAAACTGTTTCTATATTAAGGGATACTTATAGAAAGTAAAAGTTTGAGGGTAATTGACAATTTCCCATGTACCAAATAGAAAACACCGGGGCAAAACGGACACCCTGCAAATTCATTTGAATATTCATTAGATTTCGTAATCCTGTATAAATTTCTTAATTGAAAAATTGAAACTGTGGCGGTTCAATTTTCATTTATCCATTACAATAATACTGCATTATTCATATAAGCATTTAATTCTGTGTTCTTTTCATTATCCAAACAAAAAAAAAATGATGGAAATGGAAAAATTAAAACGATGGTAGAGTCAAGAAAATTTTACGGTGTCCATTTTGCAGCCGTCTCCCGTACGAAAAATCATTGTTTTTTTTTTGCTTGTTCTTGTAATTGAATGATAAGCGCAGACGAAAGAAAGAGACAATTCTCGAATATCTGGTGTAAACAGTAGCCTAGCTGTAGTAATAGTCATTCAGGATATATTTTACGGCGCCTGTTACGTCACAGTGCGCCATAACTCACGGTCTCTTTTAGTGTCAGTTTCCATTACCTTTGCTAGAGTTTTTCAGACTCAAATTCCTAAACCCGTAAAGACACCCCGGGTAACGCGACCCTCTGTATATTTTCCAATTGTCCCGTTGGAAAAATAAAAGTACAGAAAATGCCAAATTAAATTCCGCAATGATTTCAAGCGTTTTAAATTCTCTGGCTAGTGACAATGGAATGGATGGGCCCAGGGGTCAGCTCTTGGCCCTTCGAAAAACAAAATACGGTAAATAAAAAAAAAATCGAAGAAGGTAGCTGTTTTATAGCTACTCCAATGCAGTATCTCTTTCTGGTTGGAGGTTATTTCAGAACGTAAAAATATTCATTTTCATATTTATTGTTGATAGTAAAACGATTGCCTCAAGGGGGTTAAGGATGGCTGGGGGGATGGGGGTGAGGAGAGAGGACTCTGTGCAGGAGATGGAACTCGTCCAAGTGTTAATGGCCCTTTGAGACGCCAAGGTCGGAGATTGATGTCCGGCTATCAACGTGCCACAAACGTAATTACCCAGAGGTTTCATTTAATGGAGCTCCAGATAAATTGAAAATCATCGGTTTCTGTTTCATTTTTCTTTCATTCTGACCTCACTTCACCTCTCTCTCTCTTTCCAGTGTTTACCATTTTTTCGCTGCTATTTTCGACACTCAGAAAAGTTGTCATATCAAAAGCCAGCCCCAGTGCTAGTGAAATGGAGAATTTTCTCATTAAAATTATTTAATATCCTATATTAATCGGTATTTGAGATGTGTTTACCTCAAAAAGCCCTTTGGTATCATTTAATTTGTTTAGTATACAGTGGAAAATACAGAGGAAAATCGAAATTTTCATGAAGTTTCGGTGAAGTTTTAGTGGAATTTCTCGATTTTCCCTTCTAAATGGAATTCAATGTCAGTCTATTGTAAATTACTAGTAAATTGTGCATGAAATATTATTTCTCTTCAATAGCCTGGGGCTTGCTTGAGATAGTGATACTGAACCGCGGCGGAATAATTTTTTTTTTTTTGTCGAATTGTTTGACTATTGGCGGTGCCGTGACTGCCAGTAGTTGCAGTCTGGTCTATGCAATGGAGTTGTACGTGCCTGGAGTACAAAATAACTCGGGTTAATGAGAAAAATCGGTGGTTTGGCGTCCGGCAAAATCACGCGTCTGCTTCTTTTGTTGGATAATGGAAATGACTTTCCGGAGGTCGGGGGTTGTGAAACTGGGATTGGGTATTGGTGGATTCACTTGCGTGTGCAAGTTGGGTTGTAAAATTTTGGGGGGTAACGGCTCACCGACACGATAGCCAGTTTCATGAGGAAATATTCTCTTGGAGGATTTGGATTGCCCTGTGGGGTGGGAGGGGGGAGTGGGTGTACGTGTCAATGCACTTTTGATATTGTGTATGCTAGAGAGCACGCCTGCATACTCGTGTTCACAAGTGTGTATCGGAGAAAAATGGACAGGAAAATGCACGTGGGTCGTCTGACTATCGGGAATGGACATGTTAATTACTGATGAGAATTTTTTTTTTTTCTCCGCTTTCATGTACTCTGGCCAACTCTTAAAACCCAACGTACGTCAACATTTCATGGGAGGAACAAATACTACAGATTACCGGCCAAATATTAGATGCAAGTGAGACTTGGGAGGACCTGAAAATTACGGGACTCTCCGAAATTCGTGGGAAAATAATTTATCTCGAAAACTTAAAACACCACGAATTTTTATCCTATTTCCATAGATTGTTTACAAAAAATGAGATAAGTGAAAATTTCAATGGTAAATATATATAAATTGTTTAAATTTTTTAATCACTTCATTCATCATGTTTCTTACGATTCAATTAAACTGTTGACACCATTTTTTAGTTGAAATGTTGAATAATAGGTTAATTAATACGTTCATTGGTAAAAAATTACGCTTGACATAAATTGGTTTCTCGTCAATGAAAATAAATTTTTAAAAAATCAAAGGGAAATGACGCATCCGTTGGGAATGGTGAGTCTTTTAGGAACAAGTGGTGAGTTACTCTCGGGATCGAAACTCGTTCGGCCTCGGGGGTAATAAAAATAAAATGAGAGAGAGAAAGAGAGAGATAGGTGAGAAATGCAACACACGAAATGTAGAGGGTAAAATAAAAAATGAAGAAAAACCGCAGAAAGAAAAAATAAAGAAAATGCAAGTAATATAAGTCGCTGGGTCCTTGGGTGTTAGAGGGCGAGATTTGCATATTAAATGCCTGAAGATTTATAACGACTGCGTATTAACCATTTGTATATCGATTTGTCAGTGACTTGGTCGCGATGATACCGAATAATTAAAAAGTCATTAGAAATGGGGAGCGGGATGAAAAATGATTGGAGGAGACCGATGAATGAGTTGCAGGTGGATGAATGAGATAAAAAAAAAATGAGTGAAATTATCGACAGGGGGATGCAGTGGTGATAGGAGCACAAATTGTTGGGACCTGCATGAAAGCGCCAGAGTGATAAATGATCTTTTGATAAATTTGCTTGGTGGCTCTCAGGTGTTGTGTATTACTTTAGTATCGAATTATTGTGAACCCTCGGACGGAATAAAAGGGGGGCTGGAGGGCGACGTGAAGCAACCGATTTTCGAAAGTGTACGTTACGTGACAGTCTTAATGTCTCACTCTACAGAAAAAAATTCCACGTAAAATTGAAAGTTTTTTTATTATCCCGCTGTTAAACTTTAGCCTGAAATTTTTACTTGCTTTTTGCTTGCAGAATAGACAACCTTCTATTATGGAGCTTAACTAAAATTAAAAGGACATTTTGCTATTGAAAATTGAGATGAAAACTGCAATGGTGAAGGCATATTTCTGTTCAGTAAATTCCTCCAGCCTCCAAATAATTGATGTTTAATGTTTCGTGCACAATAATAGACCGACGTCTCCAACAATTTCGCTCAAGAAAAAATGGAAGCCATCTCCCGCCGGTTGATTGATGGACGCGTCGCCATGTTCATAATTAGAGGCCAAGTGATTTCCGGTGTGCAGACACTCCCCAAACAAACCGAAGATATGGCAAGTTATCATTGAGAGAAGAATGAAAAGTCCTGTGTCACTCCAACAGTGACAATCCGCAAATAGTAGAGTAAAAAAGGGAAAATAAATGGGAGGGTTGAGCGCTCCAGCTGGGCTCTTAATTACCGTTTAATTTCAGTAGACACATGCACATCCGAATTATTATTGGTCTGACACATTTCAGGGAATACAACTTCCGTAATGGTTTATCACTTGTCGGTTCGACGACAACTACCAACGTTTTATAACGATTTTTCCGGGCAAGCAAATCGAATCCACGTGTTCAGGAAATGCCTCGATGCGGGCATTTTGCACACGTGTACGTGACACCGAGAATAAATAGAATGCGCACTTGTGTTCAATGCATCAAGTGGATAATTAAAAAATCATGTCTCTCATGCACCACGAGTGGTTGATTAATACATAATTATTATAATTGATTCGCATTAATTATGAATGAATGGAGGGTCATTTTAGCAATAAACATACCGGGCTGAGATCCAACTAAATTACCGCCTCCAGTCACCTCTCTTTTTTGTCTCCCATACCGCAAGAATTAATGTGCGTGAATGAAATCGGTGCCAAGACAGGCGCTATTCATCACAAGATAGTTGAAGAAGACGAAACCGTATGAAACGTTAATGTACACGTGCCCCAGTGGGTTAGAGGAGACAGGCCCCTGATGTATTTGCCCACGAATAAGTGATTCGAGCCTTGAACGACGATAGTTAAAATCAATATTTGCACGATTAATTCCATCAGCTTCGTCATATTTCGAATGATCGAGATTGCTAAGGCAAACTGACGCTCTTACACAATTGACTTGCGCGTCACCGTATTTTTTTTCTACTTTACCGTTTTAAAGTGAATTTACATTTTTGCCCTCACCTCGTTTTTGCATGTAACTGAAGAGATCGTCGAGAAACTCCTTGCGCTTTGGATCGTCGTTTATCTCGTACAGCTGGAAACAGATAAATTATTTAAATAGAAAACTAGTTATTTCATCGGTTGGTTAATTTGCTAAATCAACATTTGGGGTTAAAATCACTATTTCGGTGGTGATAATTTCATGTATCCATTTACAGACAGATTCTCTCTTCATTATTGATTGCAATGATTTATTATCATCATCCGTTAATTGGTGAAAAAAAGTTGATATTGAAAATCAATGAATTGGCGTGATTGCTTAACAAAAGCTGATACTTGAGCAGATATTTGGCATTGAAAAAGATTCCTTGAGATTCAAAGTGAAACATTACGTGTGTGTTGTAATAAGAACAGCAGTGAAAACGAGCGTGCTCATAGCGACAGACAGATTAGTTAACTGCGATTATTAATGATTCCGTTTAACCCATCTCTCTCTACTCCCCCACCCTCTGGACCCAAAAGGAGACCCTTGGGGCCATAGCGAGGCGTATTATCATATTTGTTATGTACGATGTGCTATATCTAATCTGAAACTCTCTAATTGCTTTTATAATGCCTGGGCCTCCACACTGCCACCCCACGAACGCCCGCGCGCCGACAAAAAAATCCATCGCTTTATTTTTTAGTTTTTTCTCCACTTCATTTTCTTCATCTTTGACTGCCTCTCATCATCAATCCCCCCCACCCTCGAGGGTAAACATTTTCGCGCATCCTCCCCCCCCCCCCACCTCACCCCGCCTGATGCCAATAAATTTCAACTCGACTCAATTCGGTAATATGAGATATTATCCCTGGGGGAATTTGGGGATAATTAATTAAGGGAGGTGCTCGTTCATTCTCGCTAGTTTAAACTCGATTGGAGAGTTAAAAAAAAAGAAGGATGACATTTCAAGACAAAAAGTATCGTTGAATTGTACTGCATTACCAGATAATAATGTGTAATTGATTATTGAATTATTGAAGTATTGAAAATAACTCTAGAAATATTTGAAATGGGAAAATAAATTTTTTAACTTGAATACTGAGGATTGATAATATTTGAAAATGATCACTAGTGAATTGGTGAATGAGCCATGTGGCCTGGTAATCAAGAAGGATGAAACGAGGATCTGAGAAATGATCAGGATGGCAGAATCTTGATCGTAGGTTCATTTGTTGGGGATCCCCCCCTCGGTGGCGCATCACTCCTGAATTTTTTATTTCACCTCTTCTCGGGAACGCCCCAATATCTCTCCCTCATACCCTACCCCGCAATCCCCTGAAGACCGCGGCATTTCTCAAGGGCCATTTTGTAACCATTTTCTCTGGTTTTTTCGTGCCTCTTCATTCGATTCCCTCTCTCTCTCATATTTAAGTACTCAAGAAGGTTTACCGAGAGATGCGCAGCTCGTTAGGGTGGAATAGGGGGAGAAGAATCGTTAGGGTTCAAGCAGTATTGATTGATCTATAGTTGAGAGGCCTGACGGCAGCCCTGGAAAAGGGTCCGGAACAACGAGAGAGGTAAATAAAGACCCCACAAGTATCCTCTCCTCTTTTCTCTCTCTCTCTCTCTTAATATTTATTTTTTGTTTTAAACCTCTGAAAGATGCATGCCCACCGGCTCCGCCCCACTTCTTTAAACCTCATACGCGCATGTGATGGAACGTGAATAATAATCGGCCCTGCGAAGAGCGTTAATCGAAGGCTCTTGACCTTTCCCCCTTTGTCTGCATTCGTTTAAATTTTTGAGGTGAAATTTTTACCCGTTCGCGTACCGCAGTATCTCCCAGACCAGGCAAATGCAATAACAACGATGAAAAATACGTTTCGGGCAAACATAAGAGGACGAGTACATGGTGTATGCTGTATTTGGCGGGGCAGTTTGTCTGGTTACATTTTACGAGCAATAATTATCGATGCGCAACTTTTTTTTTTCCGTATAGACCCCCAATGAGATGCTCCGATACCAGGGACTATCCAGTCCTCACCCAACTTCATTTTCCGGGTGGTGATGACGAGTGCTGATTACCAGAGTTCCTCTAACTCCACCCACACACTTGTCGCACGTTTATGACAATTTTCAGGAGTTTCAGGGGTCGTCAAGTGATATTCTAGCATTGTCGCTCGTTTCGGAATTATTTGTTAATTCCGAATGCCCCATTATAACTTTTACCAGGAAAGTGAATTTTAAATGATGTTTAGAGTTTAAATTGAGTTAGGGTCATTTCCTGTTTACCCTCTTTATTTTATTGGTGACAGAATACTGAGGAAAAATTAATTCTACTAATTAATTTACTCACGTCAAGTAAATTATCTTGGATTAATCGTGGAGTTTAGCTCAGTCTCTTTTATTAGTATTCCAATGGAATGGAAAATTAGAACTATTGCGCAGGCAATTGAATGTCGCGAATGTTTTCCAACATCTGGCTAATATCCAATAAATACAGTCACGGTTTCTCTACATTTTCTATCTGAACAATTTATGAACTCAGTGTGATTGTCTGCATTCCTCGTTGAAACCTCCACAATGTCCTCTCAATTCCATCTCTATCACTCCAACTCGGTTAACGAGTTATGCAAAAAACATTTCAAAACTTTACGATGACCATAAATACCATTTGGTTTGCAACATTCATACCCTGTCATAATTTTTATCAGTATTCAGAATTGAATTCACTGACATTTTAGCGGTGACAAGGATGATAAAATTGCAACATTGTAAAATGTACTATCAGCCCACCTAATATCCTGAGAAACAATGACATTTATAGAGCGTCAAACTAAGTTTCCTATTTCTTCGAAATATCAAAACTGCACGTCAAATTCTCACAATTGAAAATTAAATTAAATTAAACATTAACTCTCACAAATGAGAAACAAAATCTTCAGAAAAATTCCCCCCCGTGATATCCCCAACAACATCAAACTATTCCACAACAAAAGCTGCATTTTATCTTATCCTGTAGATAAAATATCTATAGCGGGGGAATTTTTACCGATGCACTATAGCTCGAATTATTCCGATGTTTCTCAGTGGAAGGAGCAAAAAGCTAATTGAAATATGGAATTCCCATAAATTAAGGAAATGACGATAAAAATAAAAGGAAGAAAATGGAAATAAAAAAAAAAAACTAGATTTATGCTTTTTTCGTTGTGTGGAAAATCGTACGACCTTATCCGGTCATTTGACTCCTTCCAGAAGGCAGAATGAGCCCAGGGATATCCTCTTGCCATCAGAATACACACATGCACGTATTACCACGGGTTAACACGCATACAAATAGCATTGGTAGTGAGGATATCAAGATCGCTTGGCGTTTATACGTTGGTTGAAGTGGTACCCGGAGTCGGTTGGTATACGCGGCCATAATACTGCGCACAGCTACCATTAGCCGGGCTTCCAGGCATTGAAGATAGCGAGTAGGCCAATTATAATCATTATTACGTTAGTGGCGTACAACACCCGTTACGCCCCTGACTGTATGAAAAAAAAAAAAAAAATTCTCCATACAAACTGTTTTTCATGTACTACCGGGGGTGATCCCACCGCCTTTTTTACGTTCCTCTGTTTTCATTTTTTCTTTTTTTTTTTTTTCTTTTTCATGGTATCGCTCGAGCATCCGCAGAGCTGATCCTTCAAATCGATAATGCGATAATCAATGGAAATGGCGCACGGTTTCGTGGAAACTAGTGTGTGGAAAAAAATATTAACAAACAGAGGAAATGGAGGTTAACAATGCAAGAGGCAAAGGAATTGGTGGTTTATCGAGGTTTGAAAATTTATTCAAATTGCTCGAGTGGGAATTGCTGGTTGATAGAATTAATTGGGGGTTTCTTGTGTACTGTTGCTTTTTATGACTTTTAATTTTTCGCTATTATTTGCTGCTAGTTTTCTTTCGAGGAAATAGTCGAACAAATAATTTGATGAGTAGATACAATAGCATCTATCTATATAGATGCTTGTTCAAGACTGAGGTATAGACTGAATGGAATAATTGAATTACGAGGTTGAAATTTCCATGGATGACGGGATTATGATGGGATGATAATTTTTATAAAGCTGTACGAATTATTATTCGAGATGTGATGCAAATGTTATTTTGTTGATAAAATAGAATGATGAAAAAATGGTTAAAAAATAAAGAGGGACAAGCAAGTGTGCCGTTTTTGTTGATCCCCAGTATCAGCTTCTCGGTCCAATGATCGTTCCAGGATAATGACAATAGTGAATCGAGGGATGCCGATAATTGTGGCCTACGGAGTGATTGTAGTCACTTCGTGGAAAGTTGTCGAGTGGCTTGAATGACCAGAAGGACACGCGCACAAACATTGTTTGATGAAAAGGAATAAAAGACGAAAGAAGAAGCTGAAGAGAATTTGGTGGTGGATGAGGAGATGAGGGTAAGGGAAATGAGAAAAGAAATGTGAACCGGTGGAGCTCCGGATCTTACGGTTCACCGCGGATACCTATTATTGGGACAAAATATCAATCGACGACGAGTCCTTTCATCCTGATATCTTGTTTTCGTAGAAAATGAGAAAAAGGGAGGCCCCGGGTGATAATCCGATCACTCAAGTACTTTGAGCTTTTTTCCCCTTCCCTCAGGTTCAACACTTGGCTTTCATTCTCACGTTATGCGCTATAAAATTCGTCGAATGAACGTTTAAATTTTCAACATAAATGTCACACTAATATTTAACTATTCCTCGTCTTTCCATATTTTATTTCATCTCTTCATTCTCAAATAAAAAATGGAATTTCATTTTATTGAAATATTTCAATAACAACCGAATGTCTCTCTTAAGAAAAAAGAACACGGTGGAGAAGTCGAGAAGGTAATAATAGAGAAAAATGAATAAAACAAGTGGCGGGGGATTCGGTATTTGGCCTCGGCCAGATGTCGGGCTCCCACAAAGAAAACGAAGAGCAAAGAGTCGCAAAGGGTCACCTACTTCTTTTTTTTTTTTCTTCACCTCTTTTTCACTCACTCGCACAGTTATTCCACCAGATAGACTCGAATTTTTTTATGATCGTAGCTGGAAATATTAAATCGC